ACAGCCTTATTACAACACTGTAAAAATGTACAAAGTCAGAATTGTAAGCTTTGAGAAAAAAGTTGGAGTTTAAATTTCATGGTTCCTCCACCCTTAATTAGGTAATGTAATTTAATGTATGAATTAAAATGTTAAAAAAAAATAAGTGAACAGACTCACACCAAGGAAAATCTGCATGCTATTTTATTTCCATTAGAAAAGTATCATCTATATAAAATTTTGGCCCAGTTTCTTCTCCTTTTGGCCCAGTTTCTTCTTCATCTCTACCATTCAAACTTAAACACTTGAGTTTTATTCAAGCAAAAGCAGAATCATGTATCTGGCATGAGAGCTAAATATTTCACATCATTGACTTAATAGGGTTTAATTGAATTAGGTGTGCTCTTTATTTCTCAGGAATTAGCGACTCATCTTTCCTACATGCTATTTCCCTTTCCTTTTATTTATCTGAGTAACTATGTAATGTGTGTCTCTTTTCCCACATCCAGCGATACGAGTGTTATAAGTGTACTTTATAACATCAGTAACTAGATTCATCATTAATCTTCAATTTGTGTTCAATCCCCCTTATTATATGGTATTTCCATAGTAACTTCAGATATGCCCATCAACCTTACACTTCCCAACATCAATTATAAAAAGTAAGACATTAGCTGAATTAATTAAAAACATTATTAAAATTCCAGATTAAGTAACACTGGGCCCACTTAGAGTGATGCTGTCTGGAGAGGTCCTTGGACAGCTACTGCTTCGATCTCAACACGGCCTCCCTGTCAGGAAAATATCGAAGTGATGTTTAGATCATTTTTCACAGATTAAGAGAGGGCCACAAGGCCTACTAAAAGCACGTGCGATTAACAGAAAGACATGTATTTTTAACATTAAGCTTTTCAAAGGACAGGAAGGGGAACGTTCACTAGGAATCGAGGAGAGGCCAGGCTAGCACGCTAAACGTGGTCAGCTCTGTTTGCTCACGTGACTCTCATAGCTATTCTATTATCAAGTGGGCTCTCAATTCAGAAGATGACACACGGAAGCTTGGAAAGGTTGATTAACCTGTTCCAGGACGCAAAGCTAAACAAAGAGGTTCAAACGCGTGTCTTGTGACTCCAAGTTCAGAGCTCCTTCAGTCACACTCTATGCCTTAAGCAATCTGATGATGCTGATCATTCCAGCTAACAACCAATTAAAGCAACAAAAATACCACTCATAGAGGGGAGATATATATATATTTTTAAGGAGGCACTGGGGATTGAACCCAGGACCTCGTGCATGCTAAGCATGCGCTGTACCACTGAGCTGTACCCTCCCCCCATCATAGAAGATAATTTTCTTCAGTGGAAAATTAGAATCAGAGGTCAGTGAGAGCTGCTTCTTTGTAGGTGTGAATGTTGTGCTAAGGGCAGAGGAAGAGCTTCTAGTTATATTAGGGTACCAAAATAAGAACAGTGAGATAAATATATGAGCCACTGGTTTTGAGATTATTTTTTCTAATGAAAGGTCTAGATTTTTGATTATACAATAGAAAAGTAAAAATTTTACTGCAGAACGCACAGACCTGGCTCAATGTATAGTCTCTAAGTAACATGAAAACAGTGCAGCTCCCATTTTACTTTTTCTCACAATTTAAGTACTCTGATTCTATTGTGTCCATGTTCATGTGTGGTCTTGCTTTTTAATTTTCTTAACTTTTAGGTCAAATTTTAAAAATTTTCTTAAATTTCTTTGTCTCCCCTCCCCGCCATGCATGTAATATTGGGTGCTTCCTTTTAGACTTTTAAGTTCCTGCCACAGTGCTTAGTTTGTTATATTCAGAAAACAATGTAGAAATTTAAAATTGTGTACATGAGTCATTTTACAGCATACTTACTTTGGGCAAAGCAGCAACCTGGTAGGCAGCTCTCGCAGGAAAACTACTCCTGAAATCTAAATTTAAAAGAATTTCATTTTAGTCTTCAGATATTATATTGTTACCCAACCCTGCATAAGTAAGAATCTGGCAAGTAACCAACGTGAAAAAAAAGCAGCTCACTTTCATATTTGTTTGATAAAATATCTTGCCAGAGGATTCCTATGATAGTTAACACTTTAAAAAATACCTTAACTTTTTGAGAAAAAAATGAAAATACCCATATACTCTGACACGTTCATCTTGTTTGACATGAAGGGGGTTGTTTTTAAAGTGATACTTACAGAAAGCCTGAGAAGCGTGTACCAAAATTGAGCTTTAGGAAAATGGATTTGTCAGGCTGTAGTATGTTATTCTAGAAAATGCAATAGAAATGTCTTGGATCTTTTTCATGAGGGCACACTGCATGTTTCCAACTAGGCTATTGATTCTTTTAGGACAAGATCTATGACCATTTCTTCAGCATCTCCTCACACTCTTAATTCATAAAGGACACTCATTAAGGGTAATAGATTCATTTCTCTTTAAAATGGAAAACAGTAATAAAGCCAGACTACTCACACTCTTTGTAGATGTCATTGACAGTACTGAAGTCATTTATGTCAGCCAGCAAAACCGTTGTTTTCACCACTAGGAGATATATAAATTGCCATTATGTTTATTTAGTCACCTGGTCGGATCCAAAACATACTTAGAGAAACAGTGCTGATGAAATAAAATTCACATTTTAAGGCAAGACAAGAAAAATTTAAACGTAAACATTTTTCTCTGCCCATTTAGTCCTCCTCCGTCCCCTCTAGGGTGCACTGTGCACCTGCAGTGAGCCTTACCCAGACCTCTCCAACGACAGAAATACCTGCCCAGCCACAAGGTTCAGTTCTTCTGCTGGTGCCAGCCATGTAACTCTTTAGAAGTAACGTTACCTACTTATGACCTCATTAATGTCACTAGTTGTATTACTTGTATTCTGCCTATTTTACAAGATTACTGTTTCCTGCTCTACCAAATGTGTGACTGAGCCTCCAATAAAAATAAGGCTAACTGGATGACTTGAAATGACAGTTTCACAAGATCAATGATTATAATAATGTAACTCTAGGTATCGGAGGAAGCAACAAGAGAGAACCACTTCCTGGACTGTGGCTTTTGCTACTGTTAACAGAGCCCTAGTCCCTAATAGTACACTGAGTGGCCTATCAATGAAATCCTCACCTGCCCTGGGAATGAGCATTCCTAGTGCTGTGGGACCAACTGATCCTGAAATGCCTCCCAAACCTTGTTTGGAATTAAGGTCGAAAGGGAGGGAATTGTGAAATAAAGAATGCTGCCCACCATCCAGTCCTACAAGAATCGTCCTCAGCCACTGCAGTCGCTGACCTGCAATAATATATCCTGAAAGGAACTGAGGGAGATCAGGATAAGGCACTTTGTGCTCTGGGACAACTGGCACAACTGGCTCTCAGATAGATATTTTCAGGAGAAAATTTAAGGAACCTAGTTTTTGGAATCTTCCCATACTTAGGAAAGCACTAAAACCATTAAGAAATCTGTTCCTTGTGAATAGCAGTAAACTTCTACCAAGGTGTGTGCCCTTTGACTGAATGTACCCCTTCACCAAAATCATATTATTTTCTGGCCTCTCCCCTTACCTCTTCAGAACAGTTCTCAGAGCTTTCTGAAAGACTGTCTCCTAAGTTATAATCCTCAGGTTGGCTCAAATAAAATTTTCCAGTTTTTTCTTAGATTGACTACTGATTAATTTTTCATCAATAGTATGTATATGGGTTGGTGACTGATTCTTGATTAAAGTGGGATTGAAATTAAACCAATTTTAAACAACAAATATTTGGCATGACATATTACTGAATGCCATGTATTCTTCAAAAAGATCAAAGAAATATCAAACAGAAATGTGAAATAATATCAAGTTGCTCACCATTCGTGAAGTCACAGCCTGCAGCTTTCAGAATTTCACCTATGTTTGTAAGAGCCTGTGAACCAAGGCAAAAAAGGCTTAAGGCACTGATGTTACATTAAAGCTTTAATTGAATTCAACTAACCATGTTTCCCTAATACCTCCTTAAATAGCCTATGCTGCAGAAAAAATTTTCCTTTTCTAGGAAATTACACTCTTGGGAGGCCACCTCTCTACAAGTGAATTGCTTCTTGGCTTTCTTTAATGGAAATACAGTGAGAATTTGTCTACTTTTGTGAGGAAAAAGACTGAAGTCTCTTCCTAAGTGCTGGGTGTGTGAAATTCTCAGCCAATGTCCACTAAGCTAAAACAGAAATAATTACTGGGGCTCCTAATTCTGTATCAGTCTGAGAATAAATATGAGCTAGTCAGCATTAAAACATGTTTTTTTTTAAAGCAATATTCGATTTTTATTTATTTTATTCTGGGGTGGGGAGGAAATTAGGTTTATTTATTTATTGATTTTTTTGGTGGAGGGACTGGGGATTGAACCCAGGACCTCATGCATGCTAAACATGTGCTCTGCCACTGAGTTATACCCTCCCTCCCTAAAGCAATATTCGATTTTTAAAGAGTTCTTCCTTTTTCTCAAAAAACAATATTAGCAAATTGTGTATATGTTTGACACTATGGCTTTTGGAAAAACATTGGTTTTTCACCCTGTCCTTAATTTATTATTTTTTCAGCTCATTCTTCCACTTGACTGGTCACATTATTTGATTTTTATAAAAAAGTAATTAATCTCCTAAATAAGTAATACATGGATATGGCAAAAAAGAAAAAACAACCTCAAAAGCTATAAAAAAAAAAGCACATACAATGAAAAGATGTCTCCTTCCCTACCCACCCCATCAGTTTCCTTCATCAGAGGTAAGCATTGTTTCTAGTTTCTTGTATAACCTTCCAGAGACACTCAGTGCTTATACCAATGTAAATGATTATATCCTTAGACAGACGCACACTCAGAGGTCGTAGCTTATTGTGCATGCTGTTCTGCATCTTGGTTTTATTTTATCATATAACAACTTATCTTGGAGATCTCAATATATTAACTTAATTGAATGGATCTAGCATGATTTACTTAACTACTTCCTTATGGATGGGTATTTGGGTTGTTTTTTATCTTTGAATATTACAAATGACTCAGTGAAAATATTAAATTATAATTTAATTCTATTTATTGGATTAGAATTCTATCCCCCATTCTGATTTTAAAAGACATACTGCATGGAACCTTTGCTATAGCTCTCTTTCTAACAAATGTTGACTTTTACTTCTGTGGTGGTGGATTTTTTTTTTTTTGCAAGTCATTGGCCCTGATAAGAAAATTTCCCAATCCATGTGGAAGTAGCAAGATGTTATCTGATCAGTAATTCAGGGTTTCCCTCTCCCATTTTATTGAAATATAACTGATATATAACATTGTATTAGTTTTAGGTGTATAACATGATTTAATATATGTATATATTGTAAAATGATTTATCACAATAAGCTTAGTTAATATCCAATAATTCAAGTTTAAAGTCACCTTTATCTTTTTTTTTTTTTTTGGTTGTTAAATGATTCATAACATTTCCAATTTTCTACTGACAAAAAACTGTCCTAAGTCAATCAGTAACTTAAAAAGCACTTATCTGATAATCTCTATAAAACAAATCAGTCAAGGGGATTCCTAATACTCCTCAATATTAAAAAGAGAGAAGGGAACTTCAAATACGAAAAATCACTCACCTGTTTAGCTTCTTCTGCCACTCCTCCTGGCACAAGCTGTCCACTTGCAGGGTCCATGCCTAGCTGTCCTGAAATGTAAATGGTCCTGTCGACTAACACAGCCTGACTGCAATGAACAAGAAATACAGTGAATATATAAAATATAAATATAAAATTCAATGCTAAAAGACTTCTTTCCTAGGGCAAAAAAAGCACAAAATGTAAAATAAAAATGTTGATAATTGGACCTCATTAAAATGAAAAACTTGCTTGTTGAAAGACGTCTTTAAGAAAATGAAAACACTAATCACAGACTAGGAGAAAATATTTGCAAAACGTGTACCTAACAAAGGACTTACATCTAGAATACATAAAGAACTCTTATAACTCAATAGTTTAAAGACAAACAACCCAGTACAATTTGGGCAGGAGGTTTAAACAGATACTTCACAAAAGAAGACATAGAAAGAGCCAAGGAGTAATGTAAACCAAAACCACACTAAGATACCATTACATACAATAAGGCATCACTGACAATAACAAGCATTGAAGAAGATATGGAGCAACTGGAGACCTCATACATTGTTGGTGGGAATGCCTGGTAGGACAGACACTTTGGAAAACAGCTTGGCAACTTCTTATAAACATATACGTAACATACAACCCAGCAATTTCTCTCCTAGGCAACTACCGAAAAGAAATGAAAACACATGTCCAAAGACTTTATGAATGTTCAGAACAGCATTATTCATGATAGCCAACAAGAAAAACAAATAAAAAACACCCACTAATAGATCCAACTAAAGGCTACATATTATTTGATTCTACTTATATGAAATTCTAGGGAAAAACAAAACAAAACCCAGAAAGTATATTAGTAGCTGCCTCGGGTAGGAGTGGGAACTGATCACAAAAGAGTATGAGGGAATTTTTTTTGGTGGGGGAGGGTAGGTTGACGGAAATACTCAAAACCTTGTTTGTAGCAGTTGATGCATGACTATACATTTACTAAAACTTAGAATGGGTCAGTTTTATATGTAACTTGTACCTCAGCAAAGCTGTAAAACAAACAAAAGCAATGCCAAGAGTGCTCTTAAGAAAATGTGTAATTATCAGACAAGTTTAATCACTGCTGCTGCAGGGTCAATTAAGGCTCCAACTCCAACTGTGAGGGTACTCTTCATTTCTGCAAAGTGCTTTTGGAACTTTTCTTGCAGCGAGGATACTAAATTTCAGAATTAGTATAAAATCACAGGAAAACGAATAGGCTACACTGAGACTTGAAAGAGAGACAAACCAATCAACTTTAAAGGCAAATTTATTCGTTTCTGGATAAAGAAAGCCCCTCCACTGTTTTTTTTTAAATTGTGATATATATAAAACAAAATTTACCATTTTAAGGTATACAATTCAGTAGCATTAAGTATCCCCGTTTCAAAAATGTTGATAAAGAAATCTTAATATCAATTTAAATTTAGAAGTAAAACTTGTTTTACCGTTACGTGTTTATTGAGAAACAGGATATCCTCATTTCTAATCTTCTAGTTCCCCATATTTTGCTTTCGAACATGCTCCAAACTTCCCTTTTACTTCATAACGTCCCTGATTTTCCCGACCATATCTCTTTTCTTTATCATTTTAAATATAAAATTGATAACTTTATAACTTGCAGCAGGTCTCCGGATGTGTTGCCCCACTTCCTAGGTTCCCCTTCCCGGTTCGGCTTGTTGGGCGGGGTTGCGGGCAAATAACCCTGAGGCCCGCCCCAGCTCTGACCCCAGTGCCACCAAGCCCTGAATCCTTGACTCCACACTCCTGGAGTCAGTCCCGACTCCCACATGCCTCAGTACCTGTAGGGACCAAGGGCCGCTGGGGCCTTGGCGGTGCTGATTACCTTCCTGATCAAGGACGACATGGCTAATCCTGTTCTCTCGCTGCCCCTGGGTACAGCTAACCAGTAACCCCACTGGCGTATCACGGGACTAACTACCGGGGCTGATAGTCCCCTCTTTAAAGCATCGCCCGGGGTGGTTTCGCTAAGCATTCTGGGAATTGTAGTCTCTGCAAGACTCTGGGCCACGTGGAGGCAGCGGTCGCATGGGCGCATGCGCCGTGCAGCTCGCTCGCCGCGCACGTCGCGTCTGGAAGGACTGTCGCAGAGCCTTGTCATTCTGACCTGGGGAACTCTGGCTTCTTCCCACAGAGTGTCCGCAGGTAGGTCGTGTTGGGGCTGGCGTTCGCCAGGATCCGCGAGAATGAGGGGAGTGGGTGGGGAGGTCCCCTCAACCAGCGCTGGAGCACTGGCCAGTCTGCCCTCTGCTTTTCTTCCTCACACCGGGGTGACCTGGTCTTCTTTCCTTACTTTCCGCGCAGGGGTCCCCTCTTCCTGCCCCACCTCCTCTTGTTACGGAAGAGCTAGGTTCACCTCTTGGTGGGTGTTGAGCCAAAAAAACAAAAAACCAACCCAACCAAGCCGAAAACCGGGAGAGGGAAGGATTTATTACTTGATGCAAGAAAGGTGAACACCAGGAGTCTTTCTCAAAGCAGTGTCTCCCTGAACAGCAAAATTGGGAAAATTTTTAGCTAAGTGTACATACATAGTCAAGAAGGGGCTTGAGCAGAGGAGAATTCGGCATAGAATTGGGGCGAAGGTCAACAGTCTAGGCGTTAGTTGATTGAAGGCTCGAGGGTCAGAAAATGTCAACATCATCATCCCTTAGGTTCCATTTGATCCTGTGATTCAGCGCCCAAGGGGGGTTCACATTCCACAAAACTGCACAAGAAAGTGCTTCAGGCTAGTCTTTACCATGGAAATGGAACTGGGAGTTTACAGATGATTTTTGCTCTTGCTACTTCTCTAACCGGATAATAGCTGTTCGTTCTTTTGTTCCTTTAAGACTATTATTACTGAGACCTGTTCAAAGGCAAGCATTGGGGCCAGGCTCAGATCATAAAATGGCTTAGGCCAAAAATGGCTTCTGTTGTTAAGAAAGCCATGCCTGGCTCTCTTCTTCTGGTGACTACACCCCCCCCCCCCAACTGCGCGCCTTAACTACTTACACTTCAGCCCCTGCGCTCATGACCCCTGCCTCTGTCATTTCTCTGTGTTGCCCCACTGGGCAGAGGCTGTCCCTCGGTATGGGCTCACACCCCTCTCCTGCTACCCGAAAGGAATAAGATGGGTCATTCAGGGGACAGCACGTAGATCTGGGCATCATTCACTTCCCTGCCCTACCCATGCTCCTTTCTCTGGAGAGCACCTCGAGCTTTACAAGGTGGCTATGTGTTCCCTTTCAATCTCAGCGGAAGCCTGGTGACTGGGGTCTGATTTCAAATAGATTATTGATCTTGGTCCAGCAAGTGACCCCAGAGCTGGTCTCTTGGCAGATATTCAGTCATGCTGTATCAGAAGCAGTGGTACTTGGCTAAATACTTTTTAACTGTTAATATATGCATTGTGAGAGGCACGTTTCACACTTTTATGCGTACACATGTATGTTCAGCAAGTATATGTATATACTGAGCCTCTGCTTTGTGCAAGGAACTTTGTTAGTTGCTGCAGATGTAACAGAAAGAATCCCTGTCCTCTGCTTCTGAAATGTAATATAAGAAAATCCTCTTTATTCCCCCTCATTTTGTTCCACATACTGCTGAGGTTTTGGCTTTCCTACTTCCAGCACAGGAACCGGCAGAGCTTTCTCATTGGTTTAGAGTTTTGGCCTCCCCTTGCCTACTCAGTTTTATCCTCTTCTGCTCTCTCTTCCCTCTCTAATCTACTCGTCCAGAGTCCTCCTGAGTTCACAAAGTAGATTCCTGAGTACTCTTTCTTCCCTATTCAAGTTCTAACTAATGAAATCCTGTTTTCTCATTGCTTTTTCCTGCAGATTCACACTTTTTCTTTCCTGTATCCAGTTTCCTAATGCACTGTACTGCAAAATTTAATCTTTTATTATACGGGGTCTATCTCTGTAATTGTTTTTTTGTTTTAAAAATAGTGAATACAGGGGGGAGGGTATAGCTCAAGTGGTGGAGTGCATGTTTAGCATGCATTAGGTTCTGGGTTCAATCCCCAGTACCTTCTCTAAGAATAAATAAGGAAACCTAATTACCTACCCCCACCAAAAAAACCCCAAAAAAACAAGTGAATAGAGCCAGACTGCCTGGTTTGAATCCCAGCACAATCACAAACTTAATGTTACCTCCCTGGCTTCAGTTTCTTCATTTATAAAATGAGGATAGTGCTAGTATTTCCCTCACAAAGTTGTGAGAATTAAATGAGTAAGGCATGTGGAATAGTACCCGGCACATATAGTTCTCAGTAAATGTTGGCTGCCTAAGATGACTAATTCTTTAAGGGAAGAGGCCACACCCCCATACTACTTCGGCATACACACAGCCCAAAAGTATTATGCACATGGTAGGTGCCCAAAAGATTGTTAAATTTGATTAAACTGGATAAGTAGGAGATTTTTTTTATTTACAAAACAGTTCACCATATGATTTTTTAAATAAGCAGTTCTCTTTGAGCATTACAAATAATTGAACTGGAGTAAAATATTTCTTGTGAAACAAAGTACCTGTATTCTTGAGGCAGTTGTATTAAGTCTGAGTCACCAGTTTTTTGGATCTGAAGAAATTAGAAATCACTTGTTTAATCCCAGATTTTCAAACCAGTCTACCAAGGCATGTGTCTGATCAACCAGGGGATAATGTGCTACATGAGAAAACATGACGTGTCCAATTTATTTGAAGATTTGGGAAAAATGACTTTCATGAAGCTGACACATATTTAGTTCTTATTAAAGTTTTGACTGAATGAATATGAAAACAAACACAAACAATATTAGGAATAAATGTAAAATTCACTTGAATGTTAAGGTAAGAGATTCCTTCTGGAAGCTATTTTAAGCCAAATCCTCAGACTTTGTAAGGATGTATTCTATATTCATTCTTTTCTACTGTTAGAACTGTTAGAGGACTATTGCTAGTTCAGTCGCTAAAATTTTAGTCTGGAATCTAAGCTCAGAGATGTGACTTGGGAAGGTTACCCTAATCCTGGACTCCCAGCCTGGCCCTGGCGTGTTCTGGCCCTGAGCAGAGCCAGGGTTCCCAGGTAGTGCTCTGTCTTGCTGGGCAAGTTATGATTCAAGCAGATAATAGTAGACTAAGTTGCAAGGTAATTCTGAATAGTTCTTAATGCAGACTGATCTGAGTCATGTCCTTCACCAGCCGACCATTTCTGCAGAACTGCATTTACTTCCTACCTGTTTTTTAGTTTGAAAAATGTTTTTGGCTATAGATGTAGTTGTCTTTCATTTAGGTCAAAGAAGAATGGAGTGAGAAAGTGGAAAGACATAGTTCGTTTATTATTTAAGAATAATAGCTCATAAGAAAATCCTAGTTAGTTAGTTCATTTATTATTAAAGAATAGTTAGTTCATTTATTATTTAAGAATAATAGCTACCATAAAAACCAAGACCTTAGTTTATGCAAAGCCCCATGCTGTGTGTTACGGACATTACCTTATTTAATTCTCATAGCAGCCTTGTGATTATCCCCATGTACAGAAGGAGGAGACTGAAGCTCAAAGAGGGAAAGTAATTTTCCTAAGATTATGTGACTAAAAACTGCTAAGGAAGGTATTTGAATCCAGGTTTAACTCCAAAGTGAAGGCTCTTAAACACTATGCCATGTAGATAACTCTTAATTTTGTGTGACATCTTACATTGGAAAGAGGTAAGTGAATGCATGGTAGTTAATTCAGTGGTACTCATTGGATGTAATGCAAATCTTGATGTGGCAGTTTGAAAGTTTGTGCATGTGCTTTCGGTTGGCATACTGATTAGGGTAACGCTGCTGCCATCCCGCAGTGTGCAAAGTCCCACAGTTGTCCAGTACCCAGCCCTGCTTTGCATAAAGGCATTTGGCTGCATAGATTCAATATATACACAACTTTCTAGGAATACAGTAAGTCAAGGCAAGATTCTACTTAAAAATAAAAATTTGTACTTTACCAAGGAGTGTTTACCAATTTGGAAAGTTAGGAAATGTTAGGAAATTTGGAAATGTCATCAGTGGCATTGCTACTTTCTCTTTGAGGTACTAGTACAACACACCTCTATTGCTTTGCCTTTGTAGCTGTTTCATTCATGGTACTTCTGTGTATAGGTACGAATAAAGACTAATATTAATACTAGTATTAATATTTAAATTCTTAGGGAATAGCTTGGTTCTGCTACTCTGAGCTTCCCAACCTCCTAGTGTCCCCCTTCCTTCAGGGCCATTCCCTGCATGAGACCTCCCTATAGACAGCAGGGAAAAGCATTCATGACTGTTGTAGGGGGTAGGAAGGGGGCTTCCAGCACCCTTCTCCAGCTCTACAGATTGTGCCAATGCCTCTGTTGGTGCCTGTGTCAATGATTATCCCCCGGGTTAAAAATATCTATTTTATGATGTCATCAAGTACAGTTACAGTGAAATATTTACACACAGGAAATACATATTTTATTAAAATTACTTTTAGTCCTCCTTTACATTACAATTAGGGCACATATTGTAGGACATGTTTTGATAAAAAGTTATGGGTCTAGCAGATTATGTTAATGAGTTTCATTTAAAATAGAAAAACAGGTGTTTCAAATTATTCAGTAAAAGAAAGGAGGTGTTGAGCTTGAGAGCTGAGAACTACTGAGTAAAGCCATCAGGCTCCACCAGGTTTTTGTCCTTTGTCCTTACTTCAAATAGAAATCCTTTTGCTTTTATAAATTAAAGGTACAGCTGGCCTCAGCTCAGTAGTAGAAATGAAAACATCAGTAATTTATGTCCAACTTTTGGTGAAGTTATCCCGTCGGAGTAGTGTGGCCCGTATCTCATGGATTCATGTGGCTCTTGTTTCACCTAAGAATTTTGATAAAATGTTTTAGCTAGTTTATTTGTTTATTTTTTTGCCACAGCATAGGGATCTTTTCACATCTCATTTTTCATTCTTCCAACAGACTTTATGCAGTGTCTGCAATGGTGTATTCCTCAATTATTTGGCA